AGAAAATCAAACATCCTGATATCTGGGAAAAGGAATACCAGACTGAGATTACCCAAAAACACAGGTAGAGCAAATTCTGTTGTAACACCCACTATCCGTGTTCACTCTGCTGACGTTTCTGTACAGGCAAGGAGCTGACCACTCTTCCTCCCCTTTTCCTCAATCCACTGGTTCCATTTTCATTCCTACCATGCATTAAGCAATGGTCCTCATTCCTCCACAGTTCAGTTACCTCCAGCCTACAATTTTTTTCCTTCTAATATTGACACAACCTTTCCGAGAGCGCCTTAGGCACACATTTCCTCAGATCTTATCTCTGCTGCATTGCCCAGAAGATAGATGACAACGGCTGGGCAGACCACGCTGTTCCAACACTGGTCACTTTCATATATATTTAATTTTCTTTCTCCCGTTATCCTGTGTTCCTCCAGTCTCCTGCATCTCAATCCTATTTTTCTGTCTTTACAACTGTTCAAAAGGTCTTTGGGAAGGGGCTTAGCTTTTCACTATGTACATAGTAAAGTCTTGAATCTGATGTGGTGATACAAATTAATAATAATAGCTGCAGAACAGCAGTAATACTCTCCCCAGTTGCGTTCGGCATGCTGGAAAGCTTACTTGATGTTTATAAAGCTCTTTGAGACTACTGGATGAAAGTCAGGCCACTGATGCACAGGATTTATTGTTCTATTCAGCACTTCAGTATCCAAGGCTAGCATCTATTCTGGTTGAAAAAGATTTTTACTGTATTGTAAAATGGAAACAAAATGAAATATATACAGTGCATGGTGCTTCATATATAAGGCACAGGCAGCACAGAAACAGAATCTCATTATTGAAATGGATGTAGCTGAAGCTGTTACACACAGTAGGTTAAAGACCAGATTCAGTGACCTCTTATTCCATTTAATCAAAATTGTTAGTATATTTTTTTGGCCTTTGAAAAACTATATATATATTTTTTCTCTTCATCGGGTATTTCATCAAAGGTAATAAACCTTTGTAGTTGCTTATGATGTGAGCCTTACAGCAGACTTGACCAGCAATGAAATGAAAATAAAGTGGATTTATGTTTAACAAACAAAAGCACAGATCTTCTGTAACACTCCGTGCATTTAACCACCAGCTCTTAACCATTCAGAGAGGCTGCCCTCCCTCTTCCCCATCACGAGCGCCTGTTCCTTTCGCAGCATTCCCAACGCTCTATTTACCAGCGTCCCTGGCAAGTTCCCCCCTCCAGCTCTGTTCTTGCAAAGCACAGAGGGGAGACGATGCTGTTTTAATGGTGCTAGTTATGCTATATGCGGTCTTGCTGTTTCTAGGAATAGACATGTTCAGACATCAATTAACATCTAATTGCCGAAATTAATCTTGTTCCTCCGCTACAGATGCCACAGAGATCAAACCAAGCCCATTTACAGCTCTATTTTTAATTTAGTGGAATTACAGCTTTTCCATCCAATGAAAAATAATTAAGTGACATGCTGTCCAGAGAGCATACAGTGCAGGGATCAGGATGTTTATTAAAAGCAAAACAAGCGGGAAGAGACCATAATTGCTTGTGCCCGTGCAAAAACACTTTTGTTTCTGCAAGCCTTTCCCCTTCCTCATGCCTTCTCACCAGCACTTCACTCCTTCTGACCTCTGTGCCGCCCACAGTCCTTACTTGACACTGACCAAATTGACTTGTTTGCCACTACTTCTACTGTCTTACTCCTGGAATTTTCCCATCCCTCCTAATTGCATCCTTCCAAATAACTCTACACCAACAATTCTGGCTGCTAGCATCCAGACCACTACAATCCAGAGCTTTTCTGAAGCACAAGAAAGCTGTGTGACCGGTGGCAGTGCTGAAAGAACCTATTCCACGCTGTTTCATTCTACCCTAAAGCAAACACACTTTCTTCAAAAGATCAACATTGCAATACAACAAGAACATAAAGAGAAGTGAGGCCTTCCCAGCACAAAGGTCTCAATGTTCTGTCCAGCTGAAAGCCCCACAGAACACAGAAAGCAAAGACCTTTCCAATTGGATGGCAATTACCTTATTTGTAAATTACACAGAACTTTCTGCTAAGGAAAAGCACTTGCCTGTCACCTTGGAAATATATCCAGTGGTATACAAAACACAAAATTAGCCTTAATGTAAACCCTATGCATAGAAACAGGACTTAGAAAAGCAAGCCCTGCTCAAACACACTGTTACATTCAGACATCCCCCTTCTTCCTTTCATCACACACCTCAAAGGCACAGACAGAGATACCAGCACCCCAGAGCATGAGCTTGCTTTGTGCTAACAGCTACAGACCAAACTCAACACTAAAATAATAGTTACGGTTGAAGCAGTGCAAACACAGGGAAAGAATTCAAATTGCAAAACACAACAGCAGTTTGGGGAACACACAGTGCCAGTGTAGAAGTAATGCTGAAACACACCAGCAGCCCCTGAAGAAATGTGCATTAGGTTTTCAAGTCACTTTACACATTATTTGTAGTAACAGCCAACACTTTACTAAGTAGGAGAAAGAGTGTTGCCATGGAAGACTGCAGCATCCCACTTCTGTCTTTTGTATTCAGTTGCAAAGCAAACTGAAGTATGATTTACATTCCCACCTCAGTTTCCCATTTATATCATGATGATACTAATATTCAGACACTTAAAAAAATATTTTACTATTTCTGTTTGACAAATGCAGCACTAATTGAGTTTATTCATGCTAGTCACTTCTGTCATACTCATTATCTCTATTTGAGACCATCACAGCTTTATTAGAGACACCAAAACTGCTTCATAAATTTCAATTACCTGGTACAAATCATTACTACTATTTTATTAACTCTTGTGTAATTGCCTGTTGTGCATACAATTACAAAGCTAATGTATGTAAATTCCACTTCACAAGCTCTTTCTGTACCTTTCATCTGCAGGCCTAGTACATGCATGTGCTGACATAGTTTTTTCATTAGCTTTGAAATCTCCATCCTGACATTTTCACAGTACTTACACACACTGGTGTGAATTTAGACACTAAAACACTGGTTTTCTTTTGCTTATTTCCAGAGCAGTCATTTATGTTTCTGAATAGATATACATACATATATTATTCATGCCATTTAGATGTATACAGAAATATTTAAATTCATAGAAAATATAGAAAAAGAGGATCACATCATAATTTATGATTTTTTTTTTTTTTAAAAGGAGCAGTCTTAGGCATCAGTAAAGATAAGATCCCAAATAGGAAAAGCCTTCACTCAGCTGTTGGCTGTTGATTTAACAGTCTCCTTTAATAGAACACCTGAAGATTTGAAACATGCACCTGGGGAAGGCAGCATTTGGTTCTGAGCATTTCCCAAAGGACCATTACTAATGGCTATAACAACTGCGTAGTCTCTGAGGCAGGGATCAGAGCTCTGGGCTCACAAGCGATTGAAGCTGCTCATGCGGGAGCCAAATTTCCTTTTCCCACATGTTATTTTCTGCATAGTGACAGAGGTAACAAGCACTCCAGCTCTCTCCCAGTAAGCTGCAGGCTTTTTTCTAGGAAAGGAGAGAAGAGATGTGACTTTGGAAGTCACAATGTTGCAAAGCAAGCAATCACTCACCTTCTGCACAGTTTCTCTAGCAAGGTGTTATCTACCAAAGTGACACCTCCATCTCCTCTCCTGTGATGAGGATATGTAACTGAAGGAATAAGAGCTCACTTTTGTTTGTAGGCATGTCTGCTCAACAAGGAATTTCATCCAGTCTGTATCGCAGGAGTGTGGAGGCAACTTTCTGAATTAAACACTCAAAACTCTAGTGAGGATGGATGACATACCTTTCATAGAATCATTAAGGCTGGAAAAGGCCTCTAAGATGATCTGGTCCAACCACCAACCCACCCCCACCATGCCCACTGTCCCTCAGTGCCACGTTCACATGGATCTTGAACACCTCCAGGGACAGTGACTGCACAACCTCCCTGGGCAGCCTGTTCCAACATCTCACTACCCCTTTCAGAGAAGAAATGTGACCTCCTAGAGTCTGTGCCATGCTCAGAACTCTGCCTGGCAGTCCTGCTGACACACCTAGCTCTTCCTACACCTCAATCAAGTGCAAGCTGGGTTTGATCCAGGCTTCAGACGCAGCTCCAAGGACAGCTGCAATTAATGTTTTCTGACATTTAACAGTGCCACACTTTATTTTGCCGAGTTGTTTTTGGTATCTAGCCCTCAGAAACCAACATAATGAAGCTGCACTGGCCTTCCTCAGAAATTAACAAGCACCTGAAGGTAAACACAGCAATTAAAAAGAAAAAGTTGCAATCTTAGAACAGAAGCAGCAAACACCTGTGGCATTAGAACCTCTGAGGAGATGTCACAGAATCACAGAATGGCCAGGGTTGAAAGGGACCTCAAGGATCATGAATCTCCAACCCCCTCATCACATGCAGGGCCACCAACCTCCTCATTTAATTCTAGACCGGGCTGCCCAGGGCCCCATCCAACCTGGCCTGGAACACCTCCAGGGATGGGGCATCCACAACCTCTGTGGATGCCTGTCCCAGCACCTCCCCACTCTCATAGTAAAGAATTTTCCCCTGACGTCCAACCTAAATCTCCCCTCCCAGGGGAGAGGTCAGGTAGGGCTGCAGTGCGGGTGCAGAGGCAAGGCCCCACTCTGTCCTGGCCCAAACGAGAGCACCTCAGGAGCTCCGGCACAGCGCCGAGCCCAGGAATTACGCAGCGAGTTACCGCAGCGCGACTGGGCGAGCCGGGAAAACGGCCGAGCGGGGACTCAGCGCCTCGCAGGGCATCTCGTAAATAAGCATAACGACTACGGAATTACTGTCAAATCGAATTATACAAATTGCAGATCGCGAGCCGCAGAGCAGCAGCTTGAACCGGCCGTCGCAGCTTCATTACGGACCCCGGAACCCCACGGCAGCCCGCAGGGACGGGCTGCCAGCGCTCGGGGCTCCGCCGCCGGCTCCTCCGCACGGCGGCCTCTCCTTACCTCAGCCGCGGGCCGGCGGTCTCCGGCTCCCTCTGGCGGGACCGAACCGTTCCTCCGGCTCTGGAACTGCCGCCACACGGGCGAGCCTCACGCGGCCGGGCCGCCCCTCCGCCGCCGTGGCGGTGCGGCTCGAGCCGCTGCGCTGCGCCCGGCTGGCTGCGGGCTCGCACTGCCCTCCGGGAAGGGTCGCAGCCGGCAGGCCGGGGGTTGTGAAGGCCCATCCCGTGACGGAGAAACCCCGTCTCCCCGTGGCGGCAGCCTCTGAGCCGCTGACCGTTCAGGCTGCGCCTTTCAGCGTTGTTCTCTGCTGATGGAAGGGAAGGGGAAGACACTGCCTGTGCCCCAGCCCTTTAGCCTGTCATCCCTGAAATTCCCTGAACTTTTTGTACCTTGCTGCCAAAGAAGCAATAATGGATAATACCCACCATTCTGGTGACTTTTCTGTTAACACCTCTCACCCGGGCCCGGCCCTGACTCAGGACTGCACGCCCAAGGTGGTGGGGCTTTTCTGGGCACCTGGCACTGATGGTGCAGCTGTGAGAAGCACTGAGATGGCCGCTCTGGGGAATTTCGTATGGTTTGGTAGCCGCTGCCTTAGGAAGATCTCCAAAGAGATGCTTCTTTGTTGTGCCTTTCAGGGTGATATCTGATGAGAGTAAGGAACCTCTCCCTAGGACAGATAAGCTGCGTTTCTTGTAAAGAATAATCTCATTTTAAATGTGAATGGTCTCCTTTAACAGAATAAGCTGTTTTATCGCTTATTTTGTCTGTACAAAACACACCAGATTTGTTGCTAGAGATAAAGCTTTAGCAAAGGACAATGTTTAACAAAAGTATCAAAGGATTTCTCACAAAGCAATACTCAATATACACTTCACATTACTAATACCAGGGAAAGAAATAGATAGTCATTGTAGATCATCCATCTCCAGAGGAAAAGGACTGCAGTCAGTTCTGTGTAAAGCTTCTGGCAGCCCAGAAGTCCCTATGTGTTATTTCAGCTGTGTTTCACTGAAGAACAAAACAGTGACCTCTTAAATACGTGCTTGCATTAAGCTCATGGTGTCAAGCAATATGCCAGCATTACGTACCTGGATGAGTGTATGGAGATCAGAAAGTGTTAAATTGTTTGTGGATTGTTTTTCCTTCATTGTTTGCTAACCCAGCATCTCAGTGGCAATTGTTTGGGTATGCTGCAACAAATTACGTTGCAGAAGGAAAACTAAATACTGCCTCAGCTTCCATAACAGCATCAAGCTCATACGGTAGCTCAGCTAAATCTTCCTTTGAGGTCTTGGCCAGAAATAGTTATTTAACACACCTGCTTTTATTTTTTTAATAAAATTGTCTTTAAAATGTATGGGGCGCATCGGAAGGTATAAGGTATACAAGGACGGACAGTGCACTGTCAGCCAAATAAGCAGCTAAATGCAATAAATAAGTAACGAGAGGAAGCAGAAGGTCCTGAAAGACAGGCCCATAAAGATGCTGAAATGCCCAAGACAGCAGTCTCACAAATGGGCAAATAATAAAACTTTGCTGCCAGACACCCACCCTGCACAGAGGACATGGAAGACAAAGCTGCCATTTCTCAGGGCAGGTGTGGGAAGGCTCCAAACACAGGCATAGTCACTCCCAGGGCTAGAAATACATAGGAGTAGTCAGAGAGATGCTAATTGGAGGTCACAAGGGAAAGGAGAATCTGTTCCTACTTACAGTGATAAGCTCAGTGTGACTGTTCCAGAGGGATTAGGTAGTCTGCAGTTTCCATTCACTAAAAACACTTGGCATCATGTGGTAATGATGATGTGGCCCATTCAAGCAAATCTGGAATTGATCTCTCTTCTTCCTTTCTCCAAGGCAAGAAGGGCAACAATCACTGGTGCCACATGTCCAGCAAATCTGAGATAGGAGGTAGGATTTCTACACCTTTGAAAACAGAGCAGTAAGTAACGTGCCCAGGCTGCTTGCCTGCTCAGAAGTATAACAGAAATTAAAATGGAGGTGGAGGAGGGAACGCGACTGTGATCTGCCACAACTGGTACATAAAGAAATGCATGAGGAAAAATCCCAACATTCGTTTGTTGGAAAGTGACACTGTTGTGAAACTGTTAAATCCGAGTTGATGCCATTATTCCCAAGCGTTTCATTGATTCGTTATGTTGCCAAAAACATTATTAACTACCCACACATCACTGTGTGCCCTTGGCTTCTCATTTCTCCATTTAAATGGATGGAGACTGGAGGAGATACTTTGAAATAGAGGAGCTGTAAATTTAAGCAGTATTTGATTTTCAGAGGTGGCAAGATTTTTAAACTGCCAGTGAAATGAATCAGAGGGGCATTTGCTCAGCACTGCTGAAAATTAGGGTGGTTTTGCTTAGGCGGTGCATTCATGTGGGAAAAAAAAAAAAAAGAAGGAAAGAAAGAAAGAAAAAAAGAAAGAAAGGTCTAGCTTATACACCCGGGTTGAAGATTGACCATTATTTTTATCAAATATCAGTCTAAGGCCAAGTGCCCTAGTGGCACATGAAGAAAATCCTCATTTCATCCTGCACAAATGTTAAGAGCAGCAATTTTGACTCAGCTCCTCTTTCTCAGTAGCATACTGTGCTCTGGAGATTCATGGGTCTGCTCTATTAATATTTAGATACTCATTAATTGAGTTGTCCCCAATGGGACAGAGGTAAGGTAGCAGCAGGATTGATGCCTAAAATTTCTGACCCTGGCAGTGGAAATCCCTTTTCTCTGTTTCTAAGGTGAGAAAAAAACTATAAATACATTTGTTTACCATGAAAATGCAAAGGGCCTGCGGTATATTAATTTTTCATATGGAAAAAGATATAAACAGGTTGCAAGTTTAAATAATTTACTTAGAAGAGGTAATAGCCTCTCTTTTATCTAAACTCATTCATTTTTCAAACACAGATGTTTCTGAGAAACAAGCGTTTGCTGGCTCCTAAACTTTTTGCAGTAGGTGTCTTTTTAGTGGCTCAGTGCAAACCCCAGGTGATCAGCCTCAGTCCTCCGTCTTCTCACCACAGCTGGATCCTGTGAACAGCAGGGTGAGAGGAGGAAGCCCCTGTTGGTCAAGTAAAATACACGGGTGAAATACAATGGGCAAGCAGTAAAGCTTTGCTGCCAAAGCAGACTAAGTCTCTGCGGTGATGCTTTTAGAAATTTATTCTCAAGCCTCTTGGGAATACTCTTTCCCACTGCAGTTATTAGATGAACAGCAAGCTTTGCTGAGCTTTAGTCATCCTACTTTCGGGTGTTACTCTATATAAGGAGGAGGAATGGCTCCCAAACCTTTTCTGGCTACATATTACAGTAGTGTTGAATCTGATAACTATGATTAATACTGTGCAGGAGGTTATGAATACAACAGTGCTAAATACAGAACTAGAACAGAAAATGTTTTGAAATGCACCCAAAACATTGAAAATACTTTACAATATCAGAAAAAAAAATGGAAATCTTTATTTACGAACAATCCCATCTTTCAGAAATCTCCATCCAAGTATCAATGTTGGGAGCGTTTATTTGCCAAGTGTTAAGTCTAGTTAGAGACTGAATCAGGAAACAAAAGCTTCTGTTGCTTTCAGCTCCATTCCCAACATGAAAGAGCATCAGAAGCACAAAAATAAAGAGTATGTTATAAAGTATTGCTCTCACACTGGGAAAAGAAGCTTTGAAAACACACTACCTCCAGTCTCCAAGGCCTGTCAGGAATGGTGTTAGCAACAAAACTGGCAGAAGAGTGTCTTAATCTCTGCTGAGCAGTACTGGGGTGCAACAATTCATGAAACTCTTTCTACCATATGAAACCAAATCAGTGTCTCTTCTCTCACTACAGGATGGCCCTTTTAGATGAAAGCATAGTAAAGTAACTGCCTCCAAAATGCCACATTGCAAAGCCATCTGACACATGGCAGCTGATGGACAATGTGTATGTTTTGACCTAGATTACATATCTGAGGAACAAAGAGCATTCTGCACTTCGGGTGGATAGTTAAATCATGCCTACATTATTTGTTAATGATAAGCTTAGGAGAGCTGATGATACTGGGCAGCATCTATTTTCCAACATACGACTTCATGGAACAGTCCCATATCAATCTGATATTAGATTGCAAATATTACAGTGCCAAACAGCGAGGAGTATGAGTGCAATCCCTCTGCTAAAATTTCTTCACACAAAACACTCAATGAGTAGTTCTGGATGTGAGATTCACTTACAGAAGCTGTTATCTGTTCAGAAACAAAATTCAAGCTCAGTGGATAAATAATTTGCTGCAGACAGCTTGGGTAGATAGACTGTGGCAGGCTGGGCATGCCGACATTGTTCTCTGTACCCACAAAAAGCACTTCTAAGGTTATGTGCTGCAGATCAACGTAATGGAGAAACAGAACATCAAACATTTTCTGTATGGAAAAAGTGAATGTGATGTTTTTGTCAGCTGCTTCCAGTAGACAACATGAATCTGTGAGCAGGAAAGAAGCAGCTCTAATATAGCAAAGATTTTCTAAAGGGCAAGTCAAGCAAGCATTCTCTGAAATTTCCAAAAGAACAAGCACACGTATTCCAGGCAAATCTGCTGTCCAACTGGATCTGTTTACAACCTGCCTTATCTCGGAGGCACAGCTGAAATAATAACAAGGATTTTGATGCTGGTGAGTTACTTTACATACAGCTTATCAAAACTCAGGGTGACTTGGGAACGTGAAATATTTGCTGCAAGACACAATAGTGTCAGAATCAGAGACTGACACATAAGAATGGCCTTATTCTGGCCGGCTTATGGCTGTGTGTTCAGAGGGGGTGGAATATAACTCGTTTCACTCTGAGGAGGGGGCTTGAGGAGGTTGTGGGACAAAGGGGAATATATATATAAATCACAGAAGTTGCAGGTCTACATATCTAACAGCATTACTGTCACAGGAGATGGTAGTAAAGATATGATTTATTCTTCCACACTTTTGTAAGATGCTGAAGCCTCAAAGCAGAAGAAAACTGAAGAAACCTGCAGGGGGACTGGGTACGACACAGTGCTTTTATTGTTAAAGACACATGATTAGCCTCCTACTTTCTGCACTTCATAACCTTGGTTAAGGTTACTTCCTAACCAGTTTCATGCTGACCATGCCAGGCTATGATCCCAGTGCACAGGTCCTTGCTGCAAAGGCAGTCAGCTACCCAGCGGGGACGGTTAGTGGCTCTCCCAGAAGAGGATAGTAACTTAATCTGAAGACTGCAGAAAACCCAAGGCTTCCAGCAGACTTAACAGGAAAACAAGATAGATACTGAATCGGTAGGAATCTTGCCATAGGCATCCCTGATCCACTCCTACCAGCCATTGGAGTACACTTGGCTTTTGCACCCTCCAAGGAAGACTCACACGCTTCCACCAGCTCCTG